GATATATCTTTCTCGACCAAACTATTAACCTTCAAATATCAAAGTTCAGTGACTTGGGAAGGTTATGGACAAATTGAAATCTAATTTGGATTGTCTTTAAAATTCAAATCCTGAAGATTGATTTGAAAAAGATAATATCCAAATTTCCATCTAAAATGGTGGTGTCCACTTAAAAAATTAAGTTTGGCCGACTTCTTCAAACTTGAAATATTTAGCAAAGATAAAAAGACATGCTAAATATAATAGTCGGAATTCAAATAAATACCGACTCATTATAAATTCCGAGTTCAAAATACTTGAAAAATTTATGAATGAAAACAGGCAAACTTAAAAACCATTCATTCATAAAATATCATTCAAGTCATTACAATCATGAAAGTTAAACATACTAAGTATCCCAACATGCTGGGAATACTTCAAAAATAAACAGACAAATCAATTAAAGTTAAACTATTCAGGATCAACAGGCTTTTCAGCTTCAGCAGCTTCATCTTTATCTTTGGTTGCTTCTTCGGCATCATTCTTTATAATTTGTTCATACATGATGCGGCTAATGACATCAAAAATCCGATCCTCCTCGGCTTTAGCAGCCTCCTCAACCTCAGTAAGTGTTACCGGGATGTGTTTGTCCAAAACAGCATCATCTTCATCAACTTTGGGCATCTCGGGAGCAGTTGGCTTGTCCACTTTCTGAGATGACTCGGCAACTTTCTTTCCAAAAATCCTATAACAGCCTTGCGCAGTTGCTCAGGAGTCATCTTCTCGAGCTCTTCCTCCATATTCACCTCAGCCAAAGTCTTGACATAAATATTAGCAAGTTCAGACTTCTTCTCTTTTTCGCCCTCAAGCACCATATTGACAAAAGATCAACGCAGGCGAGCTTCTCTTTCTCGGTCCGATTCCGAAGCCTCAGAACTTGCTACAGCTCCAATAGATGCCAGAAGACCCTCACAGAAGCTCTTCTCATCTTCATCAGCCTCAACATGAGTGGTTGCAATCGAGGGGTTGAAATTGTGATTCTTGATTTTATGGAGAAGAAATTGGCGAATTACCTCGATATCGTACAGACCGTCATCAAATAGCTCAATAATTCAGTGCAAGTTGATACAAGTATTCATCTCAAACTCACGGTCCTCATCTTCGGAATCCGATTCCACGTTGGCCTTAGATCTGTTGGCCTCCGCCTCAAGAATTCTTCCAGCCCGGAGACCATCGTTGTATTTTTCTTCAGCAAACTTTATCTTCTCTTCTTGGAGTTTGCTGAGTTTAGCAAGGTGAGCATCTCGGTCTCTCTTCAATAAGTCTTCAACTTCAGACCGACTTCTCCGAGTCACCTCGTGAGCTTCTTGTTCCTTGTGGAGAAGAGATTCACACCGAGAAAGCTGTTCTTCAAGTATCTTAACGCGTTGCTCAGAAGTGATAACTTGACTTGTCAGTTTCAATACATCAGAATCAAGGCTCGCTTTATCACCTTTTAAGGCCTCAATTTCGCTTTGAGCGATCGTGAGTTGCTCGGTTTGTTCAGCAATTTTGGCTTGTAATTCCTTCTCCTTCACTGCTGCTTCCTCTCTCAGAGATGCAAGTGCTCCATCTCTGAGCTCGGTTTAAACTGACAAGGGCTCGGCCAAGGCAAGCCTTTGGGTATCTAAATTTATATGCACTCGGTAACGACGATACATCAATCTCGGACCTCGGATCCCAAACCATCATTGGGACCCGAGCGGCATCAATTACATGGCCCGGCAATTCCACAGTGCTTGTGATCTCCGGAATCTCAACTGATTCAAAAGTCGAGAACCACTTCTCGACCGATTCCCGAGGCTGCCTAAAATTCAAGAACCTTTCTTCGTCAACAGGCAGGAAAGATCGATCCACAAGAGGCTCTTTCTTCTTCTTTCCCCGATCGCCTATATCATGTTTCTTTTTCATTCGTTCCTCCGTAATAGGAACACTCTCTGCTCGCCTTTTCTTCGACCGAGTAACTGGAACTTCTTGTTCTGCAACGATCCCTCGGTCACCGTCAGGCTCATCGGAAGCGATTTCAATAACAGGCGGAATCTCTGTCGGAATAGCTTCAACAACTGGCTCAATCTCGGATAAATTAGCAGTAGCAGCGGCGATAGCAGCCATCGGACCCGCTGCAGCAACAGCTAAAGGATCCGGTTGTGATATCTCGATAGCGGCTGCTGACGTCGCGCCATCACCGACATCTGCCTTCGGAGGATTCATGATTGGATTTTCCAAATATGCCTTCACCAACTTCTTTCGACCCATTCCGGATAAACGCAACTCCTTGCTCTTTCCGACTTTGGTTCGAAGGTCCAAATTCGGACTCTTTTGACGAAAAGCTTTTGCGTCGCGAATGGTCTTAAAACCGAGGACTCCAATAAGTGGATAATAAACTGCAAATACAGAACCGAGTTATTATGGCTATCAAAAGCAACCGACTTCACATAAGATTAAAAATTTACTCAAGTTAACCTGGTTGAAACGAACTGTCAGAAATTTCAGGACAAAGACCAACAGCTTTCAATCTCGTATTCTTCAGAATCAACTTGAAGCTACGTTGAGCCTTTTTCAGCTTGAATAACTCGGTAATCCTTTCTTTCAGAGTCGAACCGAGTTTAGATCCTTTACTTTTGGCTGCAAATAACAAAGTGTTGACCTGTTAGTACAAAAACGAGCAAAAGTCAGAACAACTCGGTATGAAGAAGTAAAAAAAAACTTACAAATGGCTGAATTAATATTGATGGGAATTGACATCCCATCGATTAAAGATTTCGAAAAATTCGGAGTCTGCCAGTCTCCTCCAACCCATAACCATTCTTCTTGAAATCCATGAAGTGATTCGGGAATATCAGTAATTAAATCCCCAATCTTTAACCCTTCTTGGGGTCTTCCCGCGCAAGCATAACATATCAGAGGATCAGACACTTGTCTGTCCGCGCATCGCCTAAATGAGTAAAGGCTTCTTATCTCATCCACAGTTGGCATGTCCCAACCCTTTTCTTTCAACAACACCATGAGGCCGATAATTCTCTTCCATGAATTCGGTGCTATCTGGCACAGCCCAATTCCCCAATTTCTCAAATAATCTGTAATTAAGGCAGTGAGAGGGAACCGAAGTCCTGATCTTAAGGAATCAGCAAATACACCCACACAGCCCGGCGGCGGACAAGTGATCCTTTCCCCTGGATAAGGAGCGAATAACTTTACCGACGAGGGAATATAAACTTCTTCTCGGAGGATAACTATGTCAGCATCGGTCAAAATGCTTGGTTCTCCTCTGTACTCATCGATTGGTTCAGGCCACCGCCGAGCTGGACGTCTCCAGTAATCGGGAAGCGACATGGCATCTTCTTCGACTTGTTTGTCCTTCTCGATGATATCTCTATTCAGGTTTAGTCGCTTTACCAACAGGGGATCCCATTGATAATACTCGAGAGGCAATTCCAAATCCTCATCGGTGAAAATCGGGATATCAGAAATCGTTCGGCTACTACTATCATCAGCTTGAGCAGACATCTTTTTTGAAATCGACAAAAATGAAAGAAAACTCGAAATTGATAAAGAAATTGAAAAGATTAGGGCAAATTCTTACCGGAATTTCCGAAAGCCCTGAATTGAAGAAAATACCGACAAAGTGCACCAGAAAGAGATTAAAAGGAAAGATTACAGAAAGAGCACAAGAAGAAGCAGAGAAGTTTAAGGTACAGAAATTTTTCACACTTCGAAACCGATTATAATTTATAGGTTTTGATTTATAACCGTTGGAGATATCCGGAAACGGCGCGTGTAACGGACGTGTCTCAAAACGGTATAACGTTACAGTAATTATTAATACACGTGGACACGTCCGAAAACGCCATGTCGTTACGAATTTATATCCGTTGGACCCATTAAATGCGGACACATCTTTTGAGAGCCGCCATGTCAGACCAAGTGCCATACAAGAAATTACAAATATAGCAAAGTGTTCTCATGTCGGTAAACAAAGCAAAACAAGTCGGAACAAAGCAGAACAACAAACGACATCAGCAGCTATTCAACAAAGTTCCAAATACCAACTAATGTCGGGGGCCTCACTGTCGATATCCGACTTGATTAGAAAATTGAAGATGGAGATTAACTACTTCATTGAAGAGATGATTTTTCAGAAGAAGACAAAACTTAAGATAAGTCAGCATTTATTAGAATTAATTACCGACTTCCGAAGACAAAGAGACCGATTATTAAAGCGGATGCAAGTAAACCGACTTCAGTCTAAACCGACTATCGCAAAGTCCAACTATCCCAACAGAAAACAAAGCTGGAAGCATCTGATTGGACCAATGAAATGGAAAAGCAATCATTGATGTTTCCCACCGCTTAAAGTGAAGCAGCTCAACATTAAATGTGTCTTTATCCATTTCGAGCAAGAAGACAAGAATTACCGTACTATAAATAGCAGAATTTATGATAGTACGAGGATCTTTTTGAACACATTGTACATAACTTATGATGATCTCGGTTTTCAACAATAAAACCGACTTCTGTACTCTTGTGACTATCAAATAAAATCAAATTCTACAATTACTTCTACTTTTTAACATCAACTGTATTTAGTTTCACGTTGTTAATTCTAGACAACAACAATAAATTAACACCAAATTGCATCACTTGGTTTATTTAGTTGGATAATCGAATTAACCAAATAATAACTTATATAAAATATTATTTATATTAGTATTTTAATATATTATTTTCCAAAAATACATAATATTTTTATATAAAGTATAAAAACCATCCTATTCTATGTCATCCCAAATGTGAATGTCCAACTAGTTGAACATTATGTGCAACTATAATTTTAGTAAATTGTAAATTTGGCCTATGAACTCAATTATAATTTACTGAAGTTTAAGAAATTGCAATTAGACCCTATACATTATTGAATTTCCAAAAGATAAGCGCCAAATCCAACAAGAAGTTCAGGCTATCGGACCATTATAGTAATCGATTCAGCCGCCGTGTATGCTTCCCTGAACCGCCCAGCTGGACAGGACGTGCCGCTGCTCGCCGGAGATGCATCGGGTCTGCTCCTCTACTGATTGGCTGAAATCGGGTCGGAAATTTTGAAGCTGCCATGTTAAGGAGAGCCGTCAAAAGGAGAGAAGGAGAACGTCGTGCTCGTCATCGGAGGCCGGAGAGAAGGACTGCGTGCCGGAGACAACTCGCCGACAGAAGCAAATGGGATGAATTCGTCGGCAATTGACGGCGGTAATGATGTTGGACCGGCAATGGCGGGTGGCGGGTGTGGGTTGCGGGATTGGGCGGTGGCTGTCGGTGGCGCTGGGGCGGTGCGCCGGTGTGAAGTCCCTGTCGGCGGCGACGAGCAGTGGTTTTAGGCTATGGGCATGCTGTGTGTGTGTGTGTGTAATATGTGTGCCGAGTGTGAAATGAAAAACGGTGGTGGTCGGAGCAGAAACAGGACGCGGGCAGAGGAGGAACGCGATGGCGACGGCACGACTTCGATTCTGTCGGAGCAGAAACAGGACGCCGACAGAGGAGGAACTCGACGGCGACGGGATGGCTTCGATTCCGTCGGAGCAGAAATAGGACGCCGGCAGAGGAGGAACGCGACGGCGACGGGACGGCTTTCCGGAGATGGTAGGCAACGGTGGAAACGAGTATGTGTAAGTGTGTGTTTCTGTGTGTGTGCGTGTGGAGTGTGTGTAAGTGCGAGAGAGAGAAATAGAGATTAGGGAGAGAGGGGGTAGGTGAGAGGTTGTGATGTGTAATGGCCACATGTCATATTATTAGTGGGTGTACGTGAATGGTTAATTGATATGGATCCCACAATTAATAATAACATGTCCAAAATACCCCTAATAAATATATAAAAGCTGTATTTTTTATAATCGTTGGATCATCCGATCCAACGACTATGATTTATTCTTATTTCTTTCACTAAGCACCATTCTCACCGGAGCGTGACTATATATATATATATATATATATATATATATATATAT